TAAGCAAAAAATTTAATCCAGGTCTTCTGAATCCTAGTCTTTCTTCAGATCTTGCTGTTTTACTGGATTTTTGTTTTATAGTCAATTTTAATAAACAAAGAAACAAACTGGCTTCATGCATTCACTATGTCATCGTCCTGTTTGTGCTATTTTGTGAAAACTAGAAGTTATCACATAAAAAAATCTTTATCAACAAACTTCTCACCTCTCCCACCCCACATTCAAAGACACAAGTGCTTTTTCGTTTTGAAAAGCTATCCTCTGCTCTGCAGCATTTCTTTTGGGATCAATTACATGGAGATGGAACATTGTACCGCTTAGCCCTGTCTGGAGCTAGAACTGGAAACGAACAATTGGGCTTATTTTTCTCCACTTGTAAAAATTGTTCTTTTTGAATAGATTCTATTTGCAGAACATTCTGCCATTGATATATCACACAAATGATGAGTGGCAGGAGCCTAATGGGAACCCAACCTTTTGAGAAACTATTGGAAATTGTACTCCTCCCTTTACACATCATTTTAATAGTAGAAAATGCTCCCATATAAAGCACAGCATTACTGCAATGGACATATCACAGTCCTTCTGTATAATTTATGTGTTATGCTTTATCTTTACTTGATAGCACCTTAAAGAGTGTTACTTGTCAGCTGCGGTCACTTCACACAACCACAGTTAAGGGGAAGGAGTCATTGATTTTCTCCTTTGATTTTCAAAAAATAAAGTGGTTTTGACCATACATCGAAACTGAAAGAGTAAACGCAATCAATTGCCAGGCTACACTGGTTTACACATATGCACGTTCGCCAAACAAGAAAACGAGGAATGTGATATAGTTACTTCAAACGTGGCGTAAAATTAAACAAATTCCTTTTATCAGGCTCACCTGTGTTTTTGCATTGTGGGAAATGAAATCCCACACCATGTTCAAGGTCATCCCATCGTTAAAGACAGCATGCACTTTGTTATCCGAATAGGCAAAGAACCTTCCTACATTAGGAATAACCTTTTCAGCCAAGGGAATGGGAAGCCTTTCTCCTCCGTGAGTCTCAGGCGACTATTACAAAACAAACAGCATGGAGCAAATTTAAGTTCAGTGTTCGAACACATCTTTATGCAACCATCTGGCTGGCTATCAGCTCTTTCAGGATTTCACAGCATGATCTAAAGGTCACAAATGCAGGGACTTTGCTCAAACTAAGCAGGATTGGGTCAGATCTCAGCGTGAATGAGAAAACACCCAGAAGTAACCAGACGCCACAAGCAGGATACTGTATAAAGATATTAGCCATCTCCTGCTGCTATTACCTCTTGACTGGTATTCAGAGGTATTGTTACGTTTTATTGCATCTCATTTTCAGATAGGCTTGAGAGGTACATCTAAAACAAACACTGGTACGGAGACCTTTCTGTCCTGGCCAATAAGGCACTGCCTCACAAGCAAGAACTGAGCCGTATTTTTCAAAGGGATGTGCAACTGTGGCCCTCCAGATGTTTTGAGGCATAAAATCCCACTATCCCTTACCCTTGGCTAAGATGTCTGAAGACTATAGTCTCAAAACATCTGGAGCACCAGAGTTGTCTAATCCTTGCTTTACAAAATGTCAGCTTTCTCACACTTACGTACCATCTGCCAGCAGCAGATGCTGTAATTATGGGTTAATGAAAGCATGTTCTCAAGATCATGTAGAAGAACTCTGCATTGGAAAATACAAAGGCAGAACAAAAGGCAGTTATTGGTTGTTCACAATGACATATGCTGTTTCAAAAACACTGTCTTCTAAGTGAACATCCACTTCATACTTAGATCAAAATCTTCTTGGTGTAACTTAAACTATGTATGTATGTATGTATGTATGTATGTATGTATGTATGTATGTATGTATGTATGTATGTATGTATGTATGTATGTGTGTGTGTGTGTGTGTGTGTGTGTGCGTGCGTGCGTGCATATATGTATGTATGTATGTATGTATGTATGTGATTTTATATATATAAGTGCAAAACCATAAAAAACACCAATGGTACAAGACACTTGTAGGATGATGTATGTACGTACGTACATACGTACGTATGTGATTTTAGTATATATATATAAGTGCAAAACCATAAACGCCAATGGTACAAGGCACTTGTAGGATGATGCCATTGTCTCACAATGGTAATATTTAACGTAAATTAATTGAAATTATTTGAAAGCTTTCTATCACCCCCTTCAAGTCATGAAGCTTCCTAGGGATCTCTTTTGTCCTGGTCAAGCCTTTGGAGCCTCAAAATCAGGTTTTGGCGGGGGGAGGGCTTTTAATATCCAAAAATCATCACCTGCTCACTGCTGCCAAGATCAGAATTGCTGGCAATGATTTTTAGCTATTAAAGCCTTCCCTTTCCTGTTCCAAGGCTCTCAAAGGCTTCCTCTAAATCAAATATTACTGTCACAGGATTGTGATGTCACCTACTTGCATGGCATAAAGCTGCATAAGTGGATTTCATCCTTATTAATAGTGTCTTGTCCCTGGGGTAGGCAGTATATAGTTAAGGACCTGCTGGTAGGTTGCTGGATGATTTGCAGTAGATTGGCAAAGCATCTAACTCTCAACTGTTGTAATGATTACAACAAATAGGAATTCTTCAAATTCTTGACCTGTAATAGTTCAGAATGGAGATTCATGCATGTATATTCAGGCCATACCAGTGGCTTATGGAATGAAGTAGACAACTAGGTGTACTCCACTAAAACTGGCTGGATAGCTCAGGGAGTAAAGTAACCGGATGCAGAGCCAGAGGGTGGGAGTTTAGTTCCCCACTGTGATCCCAGAACAGCCAATCTGTGTGGCCTTAGGCAAGCTGCATAGTCCCAGGGCACTCCCAGAGGAAGCAAATGGTAAACTACTTCTGGGAATTCTCCCCTTAGAAAATTGGAAAGAGTTGCCGTAAGCCAGAACAGACTTGATGGCTTACGGCAAAAATAAAATTAATTTTATACATTGCTGTGTTTACTGTAACTTGATTAATATTCACAAGCTGTTTTAATATGGTTGGCTACAAATAATGCAAGTAAACCAATAAACAAACACCTCATCAAAATACAGAGTAAAAATATTTTACCTTAGTGCTTGTGTAATAATGGCACCGACAGAGTAGATGCTCCCAGGTGTATCAGGTGGTAGATTGCTTACAGAATACATCATTTCCTGTCTCTGAAAGGAGGAGAGTAGGAAGGAATTTTTTTTACAAAAGAGCTAGAAACAAATCCTAATCTAGTTGATTATACACCCTGCATGTATTAAAAGTCTAAATACCACCTTGTCACAGGACTGTTTGAGCTTGTTACAAAAATCTGGGAAAACTAGCAGATATGTTAATACTTCAGATTGCATTGTCATTTAGCAGACTGACTTGGCAGTAAGTCATTCCAACTTATACTACATGTCCCCAACCTGTTGCCCTTCAGATGTGCGGGGACTACTAGACAAAAAGCTAATGTTTACCTTGTTCTTGCTAAAAAGTAATCACTGTGTCCTTTATTATTCAAAAACAAGAAAAGAATAAAGTAACAAACTCTATTATTTTTAACACGTCTGCAGCAAGCAGACCAGTCCTTGTCCTAGAAAATCCCACCAACTGTATGTTTAAAAATGTGAAACTCACTCGGAGAACAAGGCCAGGGCTACAGTCTTCAGACATCTCCATCATTTGGTTGATGTAATCTCATTAGTTTTTAAAAAATCTTTATTTTATTAAATGAAAACATATTGTAAAAAACAAGAACAGAGCAACAAACAAACAAATAAAAAACAATAATTATGCAAAAATAAAATTAAAACAAACTGCTCCCCCCCCCACCGGGACCAATGGAGAACTGAACTATTTCCTTTATTTCAAGGATTCCCATTCCCCTTCCAAAATTGTAACGTTTCTTGCGATGGTGGTCTTCCCTTCCCCTTTATTAATGCATAATCAATAAAATCTCCCCAAATTTCTGAAAAAGTATGTATTTGAAGCACTCCTTTTTTACTTTGATATTGCATGTTAATTTGTCATTAATAGCTCTATTCCATACCTCTGTATACAATCACTTAATTGAAAATTATGTTATATTTTCCAATACCTGGCTATAATTAATCTAGCAGCTGTTACTAAATTAGAATTCTATAGTTGCCAAATTATATTCCACGTTATCAAATATCGGTTGGACAGTATTTCTTAATGTGCCTGAACTGCCCACAACTATAACATACCATATGTTCTTTCAGTATAGCCCAGGTGGTGGGTTGTTGCGCCTGACCCAGTTCCGCCATGACTGTGGGTCTTGAGATCCGGCTATCCATTGGGTTCTATCTGGTCTGGTCAGGTTTTACGGTACTCTTGGGGGTTTGGTCCTCTCACATTCGTGCTCCCTGCTGCGTTGGCCATCTTGTCTTTGCCTTTCAGTTTTTCTAACTGTCATTCCTCTGTAAAACCACGATTCTTCCACTCCTAAATAGTCTTCTAACAAGGCTATAGCGACCTTGGGGTTGGCAGGTTTGTTTTTCATCACCCAGTTTCTGGGACCCGTTCCTAACGTAGATACAGTATAAGTTGTTCCATAATCACAATCTTTAATACTTGATCAGCCGCCTTTCATTTTTAGGTTGCACCCACTTCGCGGCACTGACCCTCATTTTCTGTGCTAGGGTTCTCGGGTGGATTTCTGGTTGTAGTCCTAGATCTCTAAACTGCTTCCGGTATGCTTCTTCATTCAAGTTCAATGTGTTTAAGATTGCCATTTTGACTTACTCATAGTCTCCTGCTTCTGTCGGATCTAATGTCCACTATTTCTTGTGGTAGTCACGTCAAATATGGTATGAGGATCAATGCCCAGTGCTCCTTAGACCATTGTGCTGTTGTTGCTAATCATTCAAACGTGTTGAGGAACGCCACTTGGTTATCGTGTGGTCCCATCTTTTGTATTTTTATGGACAGTTGGCTTACTATCAGCGTTTTCTGTTGCCTCTTCCCTGATGATAACAGTGTGTCTAGGCATGTTTGTGTTGATTGGTTAATCAGTAATTGCTGTAAAGTGTTAATTGGTTAATCAGTAATTGCTGTTAATCTGCTAGTTGTTTTATGAGGTTTTCTTGTCCTTCTGTTACTTTGCAGAGCCAGTCTTCTGTGGGGCCTCCAGATGTCAAAGGCCCCCTCGCGCTGGGCGCCAATATGTGAGGGTTTGGCTTTAATTCTGTGGGGCCTCCAGATGTCAAAGGCCCTCTCATGTTGGGTGCCAATATGTGAGGGTTTGGCTTTAGGCTCTTCTTTAGGTTCAAAGAAATCAGTAGATTTTTGTTGCTTCAAAACAGGTGAAAGATTTATTGGTGCATTTAACAATAAACAAGTGTCTGTGACATGATTATGAGTCTTTTCTCCTTCTGCCAATGGGTCCGGAAGGGGTCTCCAATCTTCTCTCTTCTTCCTCTCTTTTCCCGCCTTTTCCTCCTGGACCTCTCTCATGGTCACACCCCACAAGTTCTCAGTCAAGTCCTCTATTTCTATCCCTTGCTGAGCTTCTGCCACAGGTTCTGGTGCTGGCTGGGGATGCTCCTTATTCTTGTTGTGGGGGAGGGATGGCTCTCCAGGAAGTGGGGCATCCCTCTCGCCTTCCGTCTCACAGTTTCATCCCTCTGTATATAATCTTTGATAAAATTCTTGGAAAATTGACAGTTTTTCTTTCATGAAGTAGCATGTTTCCCCCCTTCCATCTTTAATTACTCCTATAGAACCCTTTGACTTCTTAACTTGTATGGCTCTTCCAGCATTCTTGAATATTTATTGCTAAACTCAAAAAACTCTCTCTTTAAATATATTAAGTTTCTCTGAATCTTCCCCATCTCTATGTTCTCTAGTTCTTTTCCCCTTGCTAACAGAGATGCTAAAAGAGTTTTATCCCTACTCCTTATATATCTTAATTTTATCTCCTTTTCTTCCTCTATGTTGTCTTGTTGCTTTTTTAATTTACACGATTCCCTTATACTTATTCCTCATAACAGATTTCATATAGACCCACAAGACATTTATTGCAATTTTCTTGTTCATTAATAGCCCATATTTCTGTCATTTCTTTCATTATTTTATCCACAATAACTTTTTGCTGCAAAATGTTTGTATCCATCTTCCAGCATCTAGCTTCCTTATAATCTTTTCTAATCTAAATATCCATATTCATTAAAGCATGATCAAATACCTTTATAATTCCTATTTCTGTATTAACCACTCTTGAAATCAAATCTTTAGATGCAAACATATCAATCCTAGAGTAGTTTTTATGAGGTGATGAATAAAAGGTAAATCTCTTTTCATCTCTCTTAAGTCAATTTCCCATATCATTCTATTTAGAGTGGCAATATTATTATTTATCTCTTCTCTAGTGGGCTTTGATTTCTTTTATTCATAACCATATTAAACTCCCTGACCATTATTACATAGCCCTTCCTTATATTACCTATTTCTTTTAACACTTGTTTATAAAAAATTACTTGATTGTCATTTGGAAAATATACATTAATTAGAGTGTAGTCCTTTTCTCCCATACTACCTTGTAACATTATATATCTCTACCCTTATTATCTTTTTAAATTTTTTCCACCTTAAATTCGCACCTCTTGGCAATAATAATAAAATACAATCTTATTAGTATTCCTGAAAACATGCTCCAACTTATGCCTTCCCTCAAGAGGCAAAAAAAGTACAGCAGAAAATGTGTGTGTATGTGTATAAAACTGTAGCATATAATTTTAACAGACATTATGAAAAGTTATTAATCTACACTACTGCCTTGGTTTATTTGTTAATTGTACAGTGTACTTGAAACCGAATGGCTGTATAAAACATGTCACTAACCTGTTTTGTTTGCTCTTGAATATAACAGTGACTGAAATATTTTCCCAGAAAAGAGCCTTCTGACTTAAAAACTGATCCATCACCAGGATAAATTTCTACACTTTTAGTCCCAAGAGAAAACCTTAGAAAAAGAACTGGTGGTTAGTCCCATGGCTGATATTAAGTTGGACTCAGATTTCATTGCATTCACAGTAGAGCCACTGAAGTCGATGAAATTTAAATTATTCACTGTTAATTTAAATCCTGCTGAACTGAACACATCTTGTTTAAATATAACTAAATCTAAATTCACGTTGTTGGACTGAAGTAGCATTGATTAAAATCCAATATTTAATTACACATAACTGACTTAAATTGTGGTTCCTTTTTCATATAAATTTAATCCCTGCCCACAAGAGGCTGAATTACAGTACATTACATGCATATGTGAAACATCTATTCAACAAAATTGCTAGTTTTCTATCTACATTTTAATGCCATATAATTTATTAATTATTGTAGAAAAATAAAATCATGGTTTTATAATGGCTTTGCTAATGTATGCAGCTCATTTCTTTACCTTTATTCATGTACATTTTGCTTCACAATTATTGCTCTTATTCATAATAAAATGTATGCATATTTCACATTGAGCACCTATAACTCACACGAAAACGTATACAAAACATATCTTCTGTAAAACATACTAGTTATAAAAGACTTCTAAAAGGTCTCATTAGACAGCTTCCCTTATTCCATTAAATATGTCTCTTTTCCTCTACTTCCATCAAGATCTGATTTTGAGAGGGAAAATCATGTTCTCTTCTTTCACCAGCAAATGCATCTCATGATTAACATCTTGTTTTAAAACGCTCAGCATCTATGCAGATATATTTAATATTATTTTTTTAATGCTTCAAAACGGTTTCCACATAATTAGATAAGGCCAGTGATGTGTTAATTTTTAAAATTCTCCAACACACACACACACACAAACTTTAGGTAATTGTTTTAGAAACCTGTAAATGACACCATTGCTCCATAATACTTTGACTGGCTGAGAATGCAGATGATGTCCTTCGTCTTCCTGTTTGTGTTGGAAAAAATCACTGAAATTCCACCTGTAGATCAAATCAAAATAACATTTACCATATTTTTCCATCTATAAGACACCCCCATGTATAAGAGACCCACCACCACTTTTCTAACTCAAAATTAAGAAAACTTAGCTTTGAGCATTCAGCCTCTGGGCTCAGAACGCTCAGACATTAGGAGTCCCTGTTGTATCTGAGAATTGCCTACAGCTCCACCTCCAATGAGGTGTATTCCAATTGGTTTGTACAGCATCAGCTGACATAAGTTACATAAGGCTCATGATTGGAGGAAGCTAAGTCTCCTGACTATAGGAAGCTAAGCCTCATGATTGGAGGAAGCCAGCTTGCAGAGGCAAGGTATATGCTGTTTTGTTCTCTCCTCAGTTATCTCAGCTTACTTCCGCATATAAGACCACCCTCAATTTTTAGTCTAAAGATTTTAGACAAAAGTATCATCTTCTACACGGAAAAATACGGTACTAAGCACAACCAAACTACTTAAAACATACTATAAATATTGTTTTTAGGCTGAAGTGCAATCCAATACAATGCCTGTTTTTTCAGTAAAATATTCTGCTATATTTACTGAGCATTAGGCCCCAAAACTATTTACATCCTAAGTAAATTACTGGTTGAAGAATGCATGCATGGAAACCTTTAAAAAAAAGCATGTTTTAGGATTAATTACCCTCTAATCCAGGGCTCCTTTCTGGTAACACAAGAGCGTGACATCCTTTTCAGGGAAAAGAATATGCCAAATTTTTCAGGACAGCCCTCTCTAGTCTAGAGCACACACATCTGTTGAAGAGTTTTGAATTTTGGTTAAATTCCTCTAGCTGTACAGCAGAAATGCAGGGATTCACAGGGCAGAATAGCTTCACGTTTCTCAGAGTGGGCCACCTCTTTTCTCATTAACTGGCACTTACAGTCTCAATAACTTACTCTGAGGCACTAATAGTAGAAAGAATAAAAAACATTACTTACAGATCAAAGGCAAACTGACAAATGACTGCTTTCAGCAATAGCCTTCAACAGACTCAGTGCTTCCAACAGACAAAAGAGAGGGGCGGGGAAATACTGAGCATCTTTGAATTCAGATGTAGGGAAGGAATGATTGGTTAGTGCTGAACAGATTGACAGTCACTCCAGCCCAGAAATGTCCTTCCCAGCCAAGCTTACTAAAGGCATCATGAGTTTCCAGGAAAACTCCAACAACCTCTGGTCCCCTTTCAAGACCGCTCACGCTATTCAAATTCCTTTATGTACACCCCTTGATCTTTGAAAAAACAAAAATGCTTTCTTCTTTTCCCAAAATGGAAAAATTTCACTGGAAAAGGGTAGTGGAACTTATGCTCTATCCTAATGAGAGAGAGAAATGTACCTCGAGACCCCCTAATGTTTCCCATCCCTGCTTTATGGGGTTGGGGGCCAAGAAGATTGATAGACATTGAAAACATAAGGTTATGACACTTAGGAGACAAGAGGGAAGGAAGATGCACAGCAGCAGAAGGTGAGAACAGATGACCGAAGAGAAAGGGAACTAAAATGTCCACTCTCTCCTCAGGAAATACATGTGAACATCTAAGATCTCTTTCACCGTGAAGATCATGCCTTTCTATGTAGCCAATCCCTTTTTGGCTACATATATAGGGCACTTATTCTGGTCTGCTCTGCTACTCACAGAATTAAAATACATCTTCATGCCTTTCTATGTAGCCAATCCCTTTTTGTTTTCCCACAATATCTAGGGCACTTATTCTGGTCTGCTGTGCTGCTCACAGAATTAAAATTCATCTTCAGGGAACTCTGATCACATTTTGAATATTCATCACTGGTTTTAAGCAGATTTTTAAGCTGCCTTAAAGGGGAAAAAACAATTTACCTGTGAAGGTACGGAGCCTGACAACTGAGTGGTAAAGCCGAAGGCAAAGGAGTGACTGCCACAGACTCCTCACACTCTGAAATACCAAGCGCAATGCTCTCGCTGGTTTTGTTGCTTTTGTCCGACTCCGTTGCATAACTATGTGATTGGTGAAACATTAATGCCAGCGACAAAGGGTACTTCCATTCTTCAGGGCAGGAGGAAACAGGCATCTGCTGAGTAACCCAGGAATATTCAGATGAACAAGTTTCAAAAGGTGCCAAGGTCTCGTCCTTCTGCACATTGCTTGATTTGCCATCTTGCTTAGCAACTTCTCCACTCTTAGAAGGGACATTATCCTCCCCTTCAGTTCTCACCTGCTTAGAAGATAGTTTTAAGAGAGAACCTTTACTTGATCTGTCACCACAGTCCTGGACTGATTTATCGCAGCTCTCCTCTGAAAATGGTAGCGGTGTGGGTAACGTCTGGCTAACTTTGCACAAAAACTGAACTATAAATTCTTCCTGAAGCTCTGGCAGAAAAAGACGCGCATGATTGTCTAAAGAAGAGACTGTCACGGTGCCGTTTTGAAATATCATCCCTTCAGTGTTATGATGACTGGGCCACTTAGCTTCAGAGATATCTGTGAAGTTAACCTGTACAAGAGAAGACAGAATTGATCAATTCTATCTTGACTATAGAGCTTGGGAAAGTTACTTTTTTGAACTATAAATCTCAGAATCCCATAAGTAGCAGGGCCTCCAGCCATGAAAGTTGGGGGATTCCAAAAAAGTAACTTTTCTAAGCTGTGCTTCATTACAACTCTATGCTAAACCTTTGATGATTTGAAACAATTGACACATACCAATAAATACAGCTTGTTTTATCACTGTTTTATTGTGCCATTTTAATTTTGTACATTGCCTAGGTAGGGTTTCTCCTGAAAGGTACTCTATACATTTTTTAAACAAAAACTAAACACTTTTGATTGATCAATTAATCCAAGTACAGTACAAATGTTTGTCTGTGAGAGTATATAGACTCTCCGAACATATTTAAACACTCTGAGCTTTAATAAATCAATATAATTTGAATCAATTGCATATTATTCAACATTTTTTTAAAAAAATGATCAACCAATTAAAACTTCAGTTACAGTCTATTTTTTCCTGCAAAACAACCTTTCTACATCATATAGATGTGTTTAAAACTAGTTTTTAAAACGGGCATTTGGAGAATGTTTATATTTTCAAATAATAGCCCAAATCCTCTTGTGTATTTGAGTGTAAGACAAATGTTGTAACTTTTAGAGGCAAACTATATCAAGTGAAGAAATCACCATAGACATTATCTGTTGCATACTGAGTTGTATAACTTTGGTTGTAACAGATAAAGTCTATGGCAGAGGTGGGCAATTAATTTCTATAGGGGCCACATGAAAAATCTGAACTGTGTTCGGGGGCCAAACCAACTTTACTTAAAAATAAAATGAAACCCATTGGGTGAGGCCCTGCAGTGAATGAACTACTTTTTAGGGAGTTAACTATGTGAGCGTTGCAATTCCTTCACCACAGGGAGGGAAAGAAAAAAAACCAAACCCTGACACTGAGCTAACTCACCTGTCCTCCATTCCCCCACGGCCTTCCTCTCCAACTGTCTTCTATCCTGCACAGGTGACGTGACGCGTCATCACGTCACCTGCGCAGGGATCGCTTCCGGCCTCTTGAGATGCAGGCTCCACAGCCTGCGGCTCAAGCGTAACAGTCAAAACCTGCGAGATCCCAGCATTGGATCTCGCAAGTTTTGCTTACTGCTGTGCTGGGTGACCGGAGCCAGAGGTCCGGCTCACTCAACGGCGATGGGCGGGCTGGACAGGAGTGGCCCGCGGGCCGCTCTTTGCCCAGGTCTGGTCTATGGTAATGTCTTAAGGTGATTCACCTCCAAATGTTACACTGTTGGCATTAAGCTGGTGTAGCTAAACAAGAGAATATTGGCCAGCATTTTGAATCTGTGATTTAAACAAAGTTGTTCTGTTGGACATCATGTGGAGATCCCGGGTGAGCAGAAAAGTGATAAATCAGTATTTGAAACAAACATATAAAACCTCACATTTTTCCTTTCAGTAGGTATAATACGTGAAGGCAAATAGGGACGACTAGAATACACATTCCGGAAATCTATTGCTTGCAAAATCTGATCCTAAACAGAAAAAAAAGAGAATACATATATAATTGAACTGTTTAGCAGAAGCAGACAAATACTTCCCTTGCAACCATAGCCACTAAGAAACCAAGCTCAGTTTCAAATCCATCAAAACATTTTACACATTTGCTTTTCAAATAGTAGAGCCTACCATGAGATAAGTCTCTGAGATCATAAAAAAGACAAATGTATAAAGGGTTCTAAGGGGTAAGATTAGGCAGAGCAATAATTAGCAGTCTAAGTGCTCTCAGATTCAGTGCCCTTTTTGGTTCAACACAGGCCACGTATCAACATATATAGGAAAAAGACATAAGGAGGAATGCCTGGGTCTCAATGCATGATGCTTATATTGGTTTAAGGAGCCTCGTGGCACAGTGGTTAAACTGTACTACTGTGGCCAAACTCTTCTCACAACCAGAGCATAATCCCAATGGATTCAGGTAGCCAACTGAAGGTTGAGTCAACCTTCCATCTTTTCCAAGTAGCAAATTGAGGGCCCAGCTTGCATGGGGGTACGCCAATGTGTAGCCTGTATAATTAAATTGTAAACATCCCAGAGAGTGCTTTGAGTGATATGAAGCAGGATATAAGCAGAACATACTTTGCTTTGGGCACTGAGTTCACTATTTTGTTCTTCCTTCTGCTGGGAGAGGAATAGAAAGAGCATCAATGCTCAAGACCGACAGATTTCAGCAGCAAATAACAGCTACTTGAGTGGGGTTTTAATAGGATGGTTGTGCCTTACTGCTTTTAATGTGTTTTGGTGTTGCTTCGTTTACTGTATTTTAGTGTGGCATTTGTTTGAGCATTCTTAGTATTTGTATACTTACTTACCTATACAGCATCTTAAAAAGCAGAGACATCACCATGTTGACAGAGGTCTGCATAGTCAAAGCTATGTTTTTTCCAGTAGTGATGTATGGAAGTGATTGCTGGACCATAAAGAAGGCTGACCGCTGAAGAATTGGTGCTTTTGAATTGTGGAGCTGGAGGAGACTCTTGAGAGTCCCCTGGAGAACAAACCTATCCATTTTGAAGGAAATCGACCCTGAGTGCTCACTGGAAGGACAGATCCTGAAGCTGAGGCTCCAATAATTTGGCCATCTCATGAGAAGACTCCCTGGAAAAGACGCTGATGTTGGGGAAGTGTGAAGACAAGAGGAGAAGGGGACGACAGAGGACGAGATGGTTGGACAGTGTCACCGAAGCGACCAAGATGAATTTGACCCAACTCCGGGAGGCAGTGGAAGACAGGAGGGCCTGGCGTGCTGTTGTCTATGGGGTGACGAAGAGTCAGACATGACTTAATGACTAAACAACAACAAATACTTACTGTTTTTAGCCCCAAACAGTGGCTTTTAATGATGTAAGCTGCTTTGGATCATTTTTAAGGAGAAAAATGGAGTCAAAATATTTTAAATAAATAAAACTAAACAAAATACCAATGGGCAGGATTTTCCCATCCAGCAGGCATTTTTGCACCATCTAAATTTCAGAGGCCTAGGTTCCAGCAGTTTAAGAGACATGAGGAACCAGAAAAATATTAATGTATCCCATTTTCTTAAAATGGCATTATGACATTTTAAACCCACCCCCAAATTTCCCCTTATAAAAACACCACCAGCCTCTAAAAACCCAAGCTGGAAGAGGATTGCTCTGTGATTTCCAAAATTTCACAACCATTTTGAAACATCTATTTCCTCCCACCATGCTTTTGACCTAGCAATCATGGTCAAAACTAGGTCAGCCAGTCCTCTCGCTACAAGAGTTTCGTAACCAGACAAGCTTATTCAGGATGCCCTGGCATCAAGGATAGTATCTTATACTTGCTTGTTGTGAAACATTTCCATTGTAATTTTTCAGTGTGCTTGGAACTCAACAAGGACACATCTGCCTTATTGGGTAACTGCGTGAATGTGGTTTGCTGGTTGGCAAACAGATGACTGCATCTAATTTGTGAACTGGTGAAAATGGTTACCTTCCTCTTTCCTGTTCAAAGATGCTATAAAAACTGTGAAATTGGCATGCTCTTCTGCATCTTGGGTTTAGTCCAAAGTGCACCTCCATGTGGAATAACCTGTGTTGGCTACCTCAGCTCCTTGTCCATTGTTCTGCTTCAAATTCCACCAAGAGAATGAATCTCTAGATTTGATGAAGGCACACCCGCAACAATTCACAATACATATTTTTTTTACCCAGACTGACTCTGCCTCTAATAATCATGTATTCATTGATACCTCCAGGGTCTGAAATAGTATAAATTGTGAAAAATGTGCTTTGTGAAAAGTATATACTAAAGGGCAAGGCAAACGGGTATTCTTTTTGTGGAAAATCACACAATTGAAAAAAACAACAACAGCCTGTTCCCTGTCAAAGCATGCCTTTTCAGAGACAGAGAGGTAAGGATTTCACTTTGCCTATAAAAAAAGGCCGAAGGACAATAGCTAAGATTGCTACTCTAAAGGAAATATCAGCAGTCAACGATACTGTTGGAAGTAATCCAGGAGATTTTAATAGGATTTCCAAGGATCTCCAGTCTTATATCATGTGGAGAGAACTGGCAGGGATATGTGTGGGCAGTGGCAAACGCTCCAGGAGTACATTGAATGAGAAATGGAAAATAGAAGTAATCTGGTCTGCTATTTCTATATACTGCTGTTAACAAATGTGTGTTTTTGGAGATACAATTGTAGCTTGAGAACTGCAATTTTTTTCCCTGAGAGCTACTAGGGCTGAGTATTGGGGAAACAGAAATATTAACCTCAATAATTTATATAGGAGTCTGTGGAACCCTGTATAACTGAGGCCTTAATAAAATAATGGATGGACCCAATATGCATTTTTTTAAAAAGTGCATTGTCTCCTAAAATAGAATGAGAAGTTATAGCTCATCCTCCATGAGATCTGAGCTGTAACACATTTTAAATGAAAGCCATAATATCAAGCGTTTTTTTCTACACAAAATAGGGCATTTTAACAATAAAAACTGTAAAAGTCTGATTCAAATTTTAAAAAAGTTTTGTTTGAATCACTGGCTGAAATCCTATTGCTTAGTGTAAAAAGTTGCACTAGAATAGGCTTATGGAATGAGTAGAGATTTGCTGAGTCAACTCCTCCATAATTTCCATTAATTCAAATAGGCTTACTGTATTTGTAACTTATTATGCTAAAGATCAACTAGCATAGGGCCATTTGAATCAATGGAACTTACAAAGGAGTTAACTAAACAAATCTCCACTTATTCAGTGGGCCTAATTTACTACAGTCCACTGCACTAAGCAAAAAAGATTTCAGCTTTTTATTTTCATCTACTGTTTCCAAGCTGTGTTTATTATCCCACAGTATCTTCCCTCCGCTTTTTTTGTTTCTGGCTTAGAAAAAGAACGTTCTTGTTTACCCGATATATGCTAATAGCAAACGGTGTCCTCTGACGAACCCTCTCTGGTGGCTGAATTGGATGGGCAGAAGCAGGAACGGCCTTTTCAAACAAGAACTCAGACCCACAAGGAGAAAGGAGCAATTTGGACCCATCTGTATAGTGCACTTCTACCGAGTTATCCTCATAAAGAATCATGAAGCTCTCCGACCCCATGGTGCTGGTTCAAAAGATAACCTGTGAAGAAAATACACAAGCAAATGTAGATGTGGGCCACAGCACCAAAAGAAGTCATTTATAATCTTAGTTCTAATAAAGGTATTATTAACCTAAATAATCTATACAGAAGTCTGTGGAATCCCATATAACCGAGGCCCTAACCAGAGAATGAGACCCAGTCTACCTTCAAAAAAAAAGAGTTGTGGGTTTTGTTTTATAAGAGAATCAGAACTTAATGGGTGTGAATATGTGCAATGGAGAAATAAATGTGGTTTTATGGGGAAACAAATCTGGCCTCATTTGTTTTCCTTCCCACTTAGGGCAGTGCAATTCTGTTTTGATCATCCCAATTCTGTGAGTCTTGGACGAAAGAGTCTCTGAGCCAGGGCTGCCTGATATGGGCCATGGCTTAGCAATTACTCAATCTGCATTACCTCAGAAAAAGTTCTCCGCTCTGGCAGAAGGTGCAGATTTCCAAGCAAGGACTTCAAAGAGAACTAGACCGAGAGGGACTCAGTGTTCCCTGGCCACATTTTCCCACTTAACACCCTTCTTTTTATACTGCTGTTCTTTCTTCTTCCTTCTTGTCTTCTTATACTTGATATTGGACATTATCATGGCTATCCTGACTTGGATGCTGTAGCTCTCAACTATGATGCTGTGCAGCATCTAAACCAGTCTCCTAAAATTCTTCAGTCAGTAAGTGGTCCTGCTTTCTGCCCTTTGTTTCTTATGGATCTCATGTTGAATACGTTCAGCTTAACGATTTGTCATTTCCACGTCTTGTTACATGACCAAGGTACTATAGCTTTTCTGAATTTTATGTTCATACAATTTCTTGGTCTTTATCCTGTTTCCTGAAAATAAGACCTAATCTGAAAATAAGCCCTAGTATGAGTTTTCAGGATGCTCATAATATAAGCCCTGCCCCCCCAAATAAGTCCCAGTTAAGTGAAACCCCATCCTCCACCATTGTGCAGCAACCAGAAGTTGACATGACTGTATTTGAATAAATGTAGATTGTACATGAAAAAAAAAAAACATCCCCTGAAAATAAGCCCTAATGTGTTTTTTGGAGCAAAAATTAATATAAGACCCTGTCTTATTTTCAGGGAAACATGGTAGTTGTTTTAGTACTTCATCAGTCACCCTCCTGACCTAATTTTCAAGGTTGTACCTGTATGTTAGTCTGTGCAAGCCTTTCAACAAGAAACACAAAACAAAGCAAAAGCAAAAAAAGATATTGTGGCTTCTTAAAGACTAACGGCTATACAGTATTTTGCTGTAAGCTTTCGTGGAATATGTCCACTTTGTCAGACATAAGAGTTAGAATACAGAGACTACATGGTAAAATACAGTACAGTGGTGCCTCGCATAACGTTTGCTTCGTTTAACGTTTTTTTCGCTTAACGTTTATTTTTTCAGAGTCAGATTGTGCTTCGTATAACGTTTTTCCCTATGGGCGATTTTCACATAGCGATTTTGGGACCATGCTTCGCTTAACGTTTTT